CCTGTAATCCCAGCACTTTGGGAGGCCAAGGTGGGTGAATCATGAGGTCAAGAGTTCGAGACCGGCCTGACCAACATGGTGAAACCCCATCTCTACTAAAAACACAAAAAATTAGCTGGGCATAGTTGCAAGCGCCTGTAATCCCAGCTACTGGGGAGGCTGAGGCAGGAGAATCACTTGAACCCAGGAGGCAGAGGGTGCAGTAAGCCGAGATCATGCCACTGTGCTCCAGCCTGGGTGACAGAGTGAGAGTTCGTCTCAAAAAACAACAACAACAACAACAACAACTACTTTTAATTTTTAGATACTCTCAGGATCCTCTTTCTTTGTTTTGTTTTGTTTTTTTTTTCTTTTTAATTGTTAATCGCACTGTCAGTACCATAGTCTTCTGGTACAGTAGTTGTTTACACTAACAGATTATATGTTTTTTCTCCAGTTTCCTAATTTTACAATGAAGTCTCTTTATAAGCTTTGGGTACATGAAATTTAGCCCTGGAAATGTATTCACATCATATATGTTGATTTAAATGGAAAATATTCTACTAATTTATCAATAATTGATTTAGTATTGCTAATTTGAAATTTTTGTCTGAGTCTTTATAAAGACTGTATTTGGAAAGTACCAAACTACATTTGAGGAACTTTTTGGACATTTACAGTATTCTTATTTCTCAGATGCTTTGCTTGAAGGTCTGTGTGGGGAAAAGATGTTTCGGAAGCACTTTTCACCTGTTGTACTACTTCTGATGTACTTTTCTTATAGGCTTGTCTTCTTTCTTTTTTGGTATTTAATGATATAAATTTCTGGTGCTTCTTTCAAAATTTTACTGCTATTTTATTTCTGTTAGTGACTTAAACTAAAAAATTTTAACATGTAATGTAATTTATAATCATACTTAATTGATTTCGCATAGGCTGTGCAACAAGTTATTACTAACCTGCTAATTGGGCAGATAGAGCTTCGTTCTGAAGATTCTCCAGATATTTTGGCATATTCTTATGAAAGAAAAATTGAAAAGCTTATTGTTCCACTTGGTGAAGAACTTGCAGCCATCCAAAAGACCTATATCCAGGTAAGCCATTTTTATGACATTTAGGATTTCATAAATAAACTGGTAATTTAATTATTTCAGCTAACAGGATTTGGATATGATAATATACTTATTTTTATATAATTGATATGTTGAAAAAATTCTTTGAAGTTAAAATTTTTGGAATGAGCACCGTGTTTTGTATTTACTAGCAAACTATTATTGAAAGGGAAAATACAAAAGACAGGCCATTTGTAAAGCAAATAATAGCCTTACATGGTTTTGCATTTTTTTAAGTAAACCTTTTAACTGGAATATAGAATATGCGCATACATACACACACACACAAACAGCGAAAGTAGACAAAGCTCAGTGAATTTTCACAAAGTGCACACACCCGTAACACGAACACGTGCTGAGATTCAGCCAGAAGTTTCTTTGTTTTCTTTTTGTTTTTTTTTTTGTTCGGTTCAGCTCACTCACTGCAGCTTCCACCTGCCCGGTTCAAGCGATTCTCCTCAGCCTCCCAAGTAGCTGGGATTACAGGCGCATGCTACCACATCTGGCTAATTTTTCTATTTTTTAATAGAGACGAGGTTTTGCTTTGTTGGCCAAGTTGGTCTTGAACTCCTGACCTCAAGTGATTCTCCTGCTTTGATCTCCCAAAGTGCTGGGATTACAGGTGTAAGCCACCATGTGCCCGGTCCTCAGAGGTTTCTTTGTAATGAAATATATTTTCACTATTGTCCTCCCTGATCCTTTATACAGCAGTGCTTTGCAACTGGGAATTATTTCACCTACCTGGCAACATTTGGGAATGACTTGACACATTTTTGGTTCTTACAACAACAACAACAACAACAAAAAGACAGGATAGAAGGGGAAGGCAAGAGGTGAAATGTGGAGTTATTATTGACATCTAGTATGTGGAGGCCAGGAAGCAGCTAAACATCCTACAATGGATAGGACAGCAACCCCACAACAAAGAATTGTCTGGCCCAAATGTCAATGTTATAGCTGTTGAGGACCTGCTTAGACAATTGTCATTTTCACTGGGAGAAATTTGAGGTAACACATTGTTTTTCTGCAGTTCATACTTAGTGTCATGGTAGAACAACATGTTTTCACATTTTCATTGCCATGGATTAAAGATGGTTACAGGAATAGATAACCAAAAAGTTATCTGTCACTTAATCTATAATAAGTCTTTCTTAAGAGACATTTTGTAGTAATACAGCTTGTTTTTTGTTTTTAAATTATTTGCATTATTGAGTTAAGATGTGGCAAAGTCTTTTTGTAATCGTCTCTTTGATATTAGTGCATTTTTAATTGAAAATCATTCCATTTATAACAACGTAAATATGATAATTCTTATAATCATATACAAATGTAATTTAATTTTGTTGGTATTTTTAGAGTGCCTTATTAGGCAGTATGATCAACAAAGTTGGAAGAGAGGAAAATACTGTATTAAACTAGCCATAGTCTAGAAAATACAAATTAGGCAAAAATTTAAACAATTACATGCTGCTATAATAGGTCTTCATCTATCGGTCTCCTTTTGTGCCATTAAGCTCATTTCTGCCTCAGGACTTTTTTGTTTGCTGACTTCTCTCTCCGGAATCCTTTGTCCTTAGAACCTCACATGGTAGACATACCTCATCATTCACATGTAAACTCAAATGTTCGCTCCTCAAAGAGAGAGTCTTTGTTCACCTTATTTAATAATGATCCCTTTCCTCTCAAAGACTCTACAGCATTATTGTGTTTTAGATTCTTAAATGCATTTGTTATAATCCAAATGATCTGCTTTCTTTGTTCGCCTCTTTATTCTTTGGTTCTCTCCTTTGGAATGGAAATTATATGGGAGCAGTGACTTTATTTGTCTTAGCCACACTGTCCCCAGTGTTTTAATTTAATTTAACTTAATTTAGGAGAGCTAAGTAATTAAACATGAGGCCAAAGTACGTAAGAAAGTGGCAGTCTTTTATTGCAAATATGCACACACTCTTGAGCGAGGTTCTCTGGTCCTCAGGTGTGGGGGGCCAGGGAAGTCGCACCCGTCCTCTTGG